TGCAAAGTTTGTATTTATCTAAAGCCTAAACGTAGAGGTACATAATTTAAGAAAATGACACGGAAAATGCTGGGTGAAATTGTCACAGTAAAAGCAGTGGCGGTTAATGATGTACTTCTATAACCTAATCCTAAAGGAAAAGAATAGAAGCCCCCTTGGCTGCTCTACAAATTTGTTGAAGATGTTAGGACAAGGGTTTTATGGCAACCAAATGTGCCTAAGTATGGTAAAAGAATGAGAAAAATCTGATTTGGAAAAGTGCAGTAGGTGTATACCGCACGTAAACGGAGTGCTGTGGGAAAAAGCATTTAGGTTCGACAAGCCATCAATGATGATTTCTTCTGAACCTGAATAATGACTGTTGACACCACAACACTTGTTGCAAAGCGTTTTTTGAGCTTTTTTTGTCATTCCTGACTGTGTGTAATTCCCAATCCTCTTGGGAATCACACAATCAGGAAAGGCACATGTAATTAAAGTGCATTGTTTGAGGTTGTTTGAGAGACTCGGCTTTTAGACTTTAGAGAAAAAATAAGGTTGAACATAAAAGCCAGAGAAGGAACATCACTCACTGGCAAATTGAAGGAGCTTTATCCACCAGGAAGCTTTCTAATGTTTACTTATCTGATTTCTTGTTTTTTAGGCTCCTTACCGGAAGAAATTACGAATTTTTGAAAGTTTGAACTTATTAAAGTCCCATATAAATGATGTTTGTCTGAACTTGGCATCCGGACTTTTAAACGCTAATGATTTCCTCTGAAAAAGGCTTAGCAGATACGGTATGGAGGATTCGAAATCAACTGGTACTCCTTTTACACATGTTTCTTTCTAGATCGCCATATTTTATTTGTTGAAGGTAAAGAAAAAATGTTAGCGAGTGAAAGAATGAAAATTATTTTTACTGAAAAAGACTGTATTGAGACGAATCACAAAGAGCCTCTGGCAATGTACTAGTACGTCCGAATATGCTCTATATCACAGTACAACTTAATTATAAATTTAAGCGATAACACGTAGCATGAAGCTCATTAGTGGCTTTAAACAAGTTTGATTTATTTCCTGCCTAGGAAGGATTAGAATGCTTTTTGAGAAAACGCAAAAGAAAAGGAAAATAATTGTGCTTTCTATAGCCGACGAAATGTTAATACTACAATTGAGCCCTTAACTCTAGAAAAAAAAACGGATTGCGATAAATTTTCCGTCGCGACATATTTAACGCCACAAAACCGTCGGAATGCTATCACTTTTTTGAAGCTAGCTTTCAAAAAAAAGCTAAGAACATGAATCTAGCGATTTGAAATTTCAAAATTACTTTTATTTGCATTGCTTAAGCAATACCTTTTCACCTTTGAAAACTTTGTGACGTCATGATAGCATTTCCGCTTTCATATGAAAGGGTCAGAGATTGTTGTGCAGATGACGAAATCTGCTTGCTAGTACAGCGTCCAGAGCTACTTTTGTGCCCTATCCTAGCGTCGTGCCAGGGCCATTGCCAGCGTCGTGCTAGGGTCACGCGGGCACCACTTGGACGCTTCCCACATTGATTCATCCGTATTCCAACATGGCGCTGGAACGCCAGTGGAACTGCGCTGGCATGCTAACGCAGGCAATTGGGACGCAGCTTAACACATTGACGAGAACGTGACCCACATGGTGGGGCATGCAGTGACCGCCACTTAGGACAATGTGACCACATGGTGGGCCATAAATTGCATTCCGTTAGAACGTTTCCCTTTCTTTTCTGGGACAAACTCATTTCAGGAGTTTTCTTGAACGATGAATTTTTTCCAATCCAGAAATTAATTCTATGTTTATCGGTAGTCCTTAGAGCTGCTCTGAATATACTGTAGATGATAACAGCAAGTACTTCCAGCAAGATACAAATTATTTTTTCACAAATGTGGAAGGAGTACAGCTTCAGTGCTTTATTTGACAATCTTGAAGTACAATTACAAAATTAAACTTCTGTAAGTTAGTTTTCGAACAATTTGCAGATTTGTACCAACAGATGCAATATCTGCTGCTACAAATCTGACTTCAAACCATTTCAGGTATGTAGTAAGAAGAATCGCGGGACTTGGCACTGATTTCAAACTGCTATTGCACGTATCTTACGTTTTTTTTTCAGGAAATGCTGAATGACCATAACGATAGTGATGCCTAGCATAGTTCTGCTGTTTAAGCTCACTTCGGATAGTATACATTGAAAAAGTAGGATGCAAATCATGGAAAGAAGACTGACATCTGATCCTGCAAAATTTTTCTATGCTCTGCAGCGTTTTGGCTTCCAATTAGATAAGAAATTTGTCAAATTGACCAAAGAGCAAGTTGCAAAGGCCAATTCGTCATTTTTGTGGTTTTTGAGCGAGAAAACAAGAAATGGGAATATAAGTCAGTTTTTGTCTTCTCTTCTCTTCTGATGTGCGATTTGGCAAAGCTTTGTCGTGGGAAGAATCAAAAACCGAAAAGCTCGGGATTTCATCGGGCATAAAAAGTTCTTGAATATCCAGCGATCGTGAGAAAAGCGAAAAAAGAGGTTTTCAGACCCCTTTATGTTTTTATTTTTTATACCCGGAACTGCAACGGAGCTTTATTTTAGCAAAAATTTTATAGCCATAGAATACAGCTCGTAAGAGCTTGAAAGTCCGAGAGTATACTAAAAGTATTATTTTAAAAACCCAAGGTTTTTTGTGAGCGCTCTTAGTTAAACGAATAAATATGTAACTTGCAGATATGATATAAAATTCAATTCATGGAAATGTGGATTGACTACAATCTTTTTCTTCCTTCCTTCATCAAATAGCTGTAGCCTATTATTGGAAATGCGCCAACTTGATAAATGTTTCTAGCCGTTTCTCCATAAAAGTTGATATTGAAAATGCGAAGAGCTGAAGCGAACACGATTAAGGAAGGGAAGTATATGGTATTTCGCAGATGTTTTTGAAAGCTTTAAAATCACAAAGTCAAAAGAGCTGAGACCAAAAAAGGATGATGTATGTTTGCTGACATAATTATGTGGCTATCCTTCCGGTCGCTTGTTGAAGCCAGAGATGGAAAACGATGACACAAAAAGGCTAAAGAGTTCGCTAGAAAAAATAGAAGCTATCACCGCGGTAATTTGCGCTTTGCATAAAAAATGAAATGATCATCATCTTCTTCATGGAAAACAAATTCAAAGGCTGTCAAGTACATAAGTTGAGTTTTTTGAATTTTTGGGTTCTTGCTTCTTCCTCAACAAGAATTTTCACAAGTTTCAATATGTGTCTGATAGCCCAAGAAACTGTGCAACACATAGAAACTAAGACCTTGGAGAAAAGTAGGGAAAGAAGCTATGACAATTTTACATAAAAAAATTTAAATCGGACAGAACTTATGCAGCAGCCTCATATTTACCGCAATCAATTTCTAATTTGTGCAACGAAGGGTGATTCTGTAAACCTATTCGAACAAAGACGTTCTGCTACGGCTGCTATTTAGGAACATGTTGTACGACCACCTTTGTGGTGCTGATGCATATTTTCATTGAAGAGATAATTTGAACTTGTACCTACTCCTAAAATTTGCACAAATTTTTTCAAGCTAACCTCGAACTTTTACGAGATCATAATTTTTAGTATCAAAAATGTTTTTTCCCCTCTAGATTCATTCATTCCATAATCGTTGGGTATCTGAGCAGATAAGCGGAAAAAACTAGTCGGTGAAAGTATTTATCAATTGTCGCCACGAGAGTTTCTTCTATGATTCTGTTCCAAATGCTCTATCCACTTTCCCTCTCAAATTTTGATTCGCCAAGACTCTTTACTAAATGATCATTGCTTAAGGGCTAATTTGTGAAAATATACAAATGTTGCCAAAACTATGCATAACCGAAAAGTTGCAACAAGTGCGAGAAAGGTTTTCTATTACGAAGATCGCCAAATACTTTTTGGAGGACTATATTTTGAGAAACCATAACGCAGCTTTACTGTCGTAGGATTTTCATTGTATAGCCAATGGTCAGCTGAATTGTGCTGCTGGCTTGGATTCTTACAGAATTTCGTAATAAATTTTTGTAAGAGGAAGAAGTTACCGTTTGTTCTCTCTGAGGTGGCAAAAAGATGCGCTTTTCTCAAATTTTTTTAATCGTTTCGCTGAGCAAATTACGAACAAATTTTTTGATTTTCAACGTGAAATATACTAAGTCCAGTCCTGCTACATAAAGAACGTTTTGCTACTTCGTAAATATTGATTTCACATTACAAGGACTACAACGACAAGCCATGTATGAAAAGTTTTGAATGAAGTTTTTTTTGAAATCTTCAGCTTGGTAAGCAGTATGAAGAGCAAATTTCTAGCAACGTTACATGCATTTTCGAAAATTTCATTTCTTAGCAGATGTGATGGAAATAGAAAGAATATCACATTTAGGGAGAGGAACCACGGAACTGAACAGAACTTTATAAAAACGAGTGCTTACATAGAAAACTAGGAGAAAAGAGCTTCCAAATGAAATAGGCAATGCATTTGTAGAACAAAGTTTCGTCCATGGAAAGTAACACTTGGAGAAGAATGGCAAAAGCTCACAAAACTTGCAGTTCGGGTTATACTGGTCAATGATAGCCAAGGGCTGACTCTGTTGACATGAAGGAGATGAACTGGAACTAGAATTAGCTCTGAGTAGACGAGAATAGCCAAGGAGGAGCATTTTCAATCACAGCGGCAGTAATGACTTCCCGATTGTTTATCTCCTTCTTCTGTGCGATTATTTTTCGGGCAGCAACTGATCTTCGGTCTTTTGAGATGGTCCACTTCCGAAACCCTTAGAAGCCCAGAAATGAGATTCTTGGGGCCTTCAAACTGCATCGAGTCCACAAATGTTGTGGTCATTCGATGCCGATCCGGTGTCGCTCGCGCACATTTGATCGTCGAGATGCTGCTGTTTTGGCCAAGCGGCTTTACAACGGCGACGACGAGGTGCCGTCACCACCGATCCGGCTGCACCAACGACTGCACAACCGAAAATGACCGCTGCGTCGACCGGCAGCAGTCAACCATCGACGGCTGGCTCCTATTCGGTCAGAGAGATCATCGACAGGTAAGTATTTGTATTTTTGTCATTCAACGAAATTATTGAATTCAAAAATCAAAAATCGACTAACAGGAGACGATTCTCGTAAAGCGAGGATTTGACCAAATTTATAATACCCTTTAACTTGATGCAGTTAACTTTTGAAATGCCAGATCCACACGAAACTTTCCTTTAGACTTCTACAAGGCCAGTTGCAATCATTACACCTTTAATGCTGATAGTTGTTCTTATTGTTGTCATGTTTATTTGCTCTTGTTCTTCATAGGATTCCCTATGCTTGATAATAATAATATACGTGTATTATACTCTGCTAACACATTTATGAATTCACAGTCTAAAGCCCCAGAACCTTGCTTTAGGCTGCTTGAATCTAGTAATCTAATCTAATTCTATCTGGCAATAGGATCCGCGCCGTGGGACATACACCCAAATTTGGCTGTAGATCAAGATTTTGCGCATAAGAACCATACAGAAAATAATAAATGACTTTGGTTTCATGACTTCTGACCTAAACATCATCATATTTTACTAAGCTTTGAATCCCTATTCTCCAATGCAAGCTCTATTTCCAAACATTCAAAAATTTGATCCATTGAAGGAAGCCAAAACCTAAAGAATTGTAACAAAAACTGGATCTTTGCTTTGGATAATCTGCTATTTTCACTCACTCAGGCATCTGTGCAGATCAGATACAGATATTTAGTAATGGAACTGCCAGTTCATGACTTGAAATCAGAAAAATGTTGAGATTAGATTGGCAAAATCGTCCACGGGGTCATGCCCCTCCCCCTGTATCAGTTACATAGTTCATACATCTAGATGTACAGCCGTAAGTGTATACAGTTGTAGATGCTCTTCTCCTTGAGCAGTAGTATGTTTGCACTAAGATGGGAAAAATAAAATTACGGTCCATTATACTAGGCATGACCAAAACCGGAAGAGAAGAGTTGAAAGTAAAACCTAAAAAAATAGTACTGCATATGGGGAGGATCAATTTGGTTAAGGACAATTTCGCACATGGAGATAATTGATAGAATAGCTAATAAACAATTGTTAGAACACTAAAAGCACATTCACAAGACGAATTTCTAAAAGACGGACCCGTTTTTTGTATTCGTAGAAAAAAGTGAGAAGCATTTCTACCCAGCAAGTCCAAGAATAAAGGAGGTCACAATATTTTCTTAGTGGTAAAGAGCATTGCACGACAAGTTTCATAGTACTAATTATAAGAAAATAATCTGAATTAGAAGTAAGCGTGATATGTGGTAAACGTTGTCATACATGAACAAAAATAAGAATACTTCTCATAAATCAAAGAATTAGAAAAAAGATTTTCGTTGATGTCCGAGACAGTAGTTTTAGGTAGTTCATTTTGGACCCATATAGGCATCTCACTTTGACTAAAACTCTCATTCTAAACATCAAACACCAATGTGAATGCGTACGGAGTCAGACATTTTAAAGAACCATCAGTACCGATTATGCAGCCTTAATACCTCTCAAACGTGCTTGTTTTTCTCATGTAATTATTTTGATTGCCCTATTCCTCTTCGTATCCGCTTCGAAGCACTTTAACGAGCAGTTTAAAGTTTTTTGAGGACCCAACGATTTATGTAGATCCATAATGGACTTTGTTGCCTAATTATTGCGTAGATGAAATGATCCTAGCGTGCAATAAATTTAAAGGATTTCACATGGTAAAATTCAAGATTGGCAAATGTGAGATAGATATAGAAGAAGATAATAAAAAAATAAGTAGAAGAAGAAAATATGCCGATCCTAGTTATTGCTGCAATTCCAAGAAACGTTGTTGATCAAATTCAGCCCATTACTAATTGCGAGAGCGAGTGTAGAGGCTAAGGGGAACAAGAGGCCCGAAAATTTTTACATCTATTATTTCTGACATTTTTCATGCTCATTATGAAAAATTATGAATATGCAAAGTGAAAACGAACTTCAAATTGAAACTGAACTCAATCCTTTTTAGATACGAGTCAGAAGAAGATGATTTCCTGCGAGAGCTTGAAGAAATGCGAGCATCGCTACAAAATAACGAGCAAGAGGAGGAAGCAGTGCCACAAGATCCTGCACCTATTCTTAGTGAGTTATCTTTGGAAAATATCCGAATTAGGACTGACTATCAAGTTACTGAAGAGTATAGTGTTTCGATAAATCTCAGAATAAGAAATTCTAGGTGTTTTATGCAGTCTAGTGGATGAAATTGGCTCGTTGAGAACGGAAAATCGAAGACTCAAAACGAGACTTGCACCGCCTCCTAGATCCAAGGTTTGTGCATTCAATGCGAATTTTCACAAGGCTGGGGAGTGAAAAAAAGTGATGAAATGAGCCAGTTAATCCTATTTTAACCTTGCCATTTCAGAATGTTGTTCAACGAGTATCGGCCATATTCGACTCACGCACAAATATTTTTCCCCGTTTGCGACGATCTGGTCATGCTGAAATTCGCACTGGAGCACGAGATCGGCTTACCACACCTCCTAGGAAGGTGCCGTAAACTTTCGAATAAAGAAATTTGGATTTTTGGATTTGAGATATAGATTCTCAAAATGAAAAGCTCAAACTTGTCCTATTGGAATTTTTATTTTAGTTTCCTGCCTTTGACCCCTTCAATTCTGTACCTCAAGATTTTCTTTGATTTAGGATCCTCTCACCGCATCCTCAATCTCTACGGATTTTTCGCAGGGCTCTAGCGGTACACGAGCTCCTCCTTTGGTAAAACCAGAGCTTAGCGATAGCGAAGCAGACGAGCATTACCCTAAGGTAAAAGAAAAAACTACCCTTAGTCAAACTGACATAATAGCTAAGATTTATCAAACCATTGGACATAGTCACAAGTAACCGTAACTCACAAATTGTTTGCTCGCGAGTAGTGGTAGTTTCTCAAGGGAGAGGAGGGGAAGCCAAAAATGTTGTAGTTGGCAGCAGCCTTGAAATCTCTATCGAGATCTAGGAAACTTCCTTGATTTTTTCAGCCTGCAACTTTGAATTCAAGAAGTTTGCTGCCGCAGCCATGCTGCTTGTCTTCTAGAAACTTAGAGCTATTACGATTCCGCAAACGAAATACTTTTCCCGCATTTTTTCTCGACCATGAATAGGAGATCCTTTGAATTCTTACGATCCATCTCGACATGGGTGGGAGATGACATTTGTTCTTTACGAATGGTCATAAAAATTATACACTACATACAACTGGCCATTATGCTGAACGCAGTCATCATTGTTGCTGAGGAAGAAAGGAAATCGCCAAAGGCCAGCGATTATCTCAAAGCTAATGACTGAGAAATGCCTAAGATTTATGTGTATGACGATGTATTATTCAAGTATATTTATGATTTAAGATTTGGCGTGGATTAGCGAAAGAAATTTAGGTCGGTGCAAAAGTTCTGGCGTAAATTAAACAAAAATCACTAACTTTTCAAATACTAGATTAAGCTCATGGTTCATTATTTTAAGGATACCGCAAGGCTTCCTCTTCATCTATTCAAATTTTGCATTTTTGAGTTTGATGCTAGAAAATCGCTAAAAGCCGTTATCTCCCCAAAAAATGTGGAATTCCTTGACGGCAAAAGTCCATAGATCAATTTGGGAGGCATCGATCTCGTATGGAATGCAGTGAATAATTCATGAAAAATTTCACTTTACAAAAAAATCCCCTTATCGCCGTTTTTCTACAGAAACACACTTTGATGCTCCAAAACCGTCACAGTGTTTCAAATAGGCATTAAGTGTTATTTTTGGTTCCCAACTGTATTTCTGTAGAAAAACTGCGGCGATAAGAAGATTTCACGCAAAATTTTTCATGAAATTTTTTATGTTTGTATTTCCACGCGAGGTTGAAGCCTCACAAATTAATCCGTAGAATGTCATGCTTTAACATCATTTATGAAGCGGAGGCCTTACGGTATTTTTTGGGTACCGGACCTTGAGTTCAGGTTTAGTATTTGGAAATTTATTGAATTTTATTTGAATTACGCCAAAACTTTTGCACCGACCTAATATTATGAATCAAATTTCACTCCTAGATAAAATTAAGCTATAAAGTCAAATAACTTCTAATTTCTATGCGAAAGGAAATTTATCAAATGCCAATATGTATGCAACTATTTATTTACTGTATTGGGATAAATTTGAGAGTCCATAGGATTTTCGGCAAACAATTTTTAAATGGTAAAACTTTCTTCCATCTTGGTTTCCAACTTTACAAGATCCAACTTGAGAGAAATGTTGGGTGGTCGGTCACGGTGCAGAGCTTCCTCTTCTTCACACGTCTGCTAGAGAAACAAATACAATTTGATTTATTAAAAAAAGGGGTTTAGCCATGGGACAACCTAGTAGATGATCTCAAGCGTTTGACGTTCGCATGTGCTACATTCTCTTGATCCAAAATAACAGAACATTGAGATGATAATATTATATCGTAGGAGATGGAGAAAGTGACATCAAATTAATTTTCTCTTCATGCACCACTCAATTACAATTTTTTTCGTTTATTTTTTTTTCAGATTGAACGTCGAAATCGACGAACAGCTGCGCGTCGGTGTGACATGTCTATGTCTGAATGTACTTCGCCATCATCAGCTTCGTCGAGCCGAGACGCAAGCGAAGGAATGAGTGAGTTTGTACAGTTAACGCTATCTGGTTCGATGTAGATCAATCAAGTTCACTTTCAGCCTCCAGTCGCTCATCCTTCCTCGAACTGATCGGTTTCCGAAAACGAAATGTGGCCGTGTCGGCCACGTCGCTGCTTCCAGCGGCGACGAAGCCGATTTTGAAGAAAAGGCACAGAAGGGTGTCCGAGGACGAGGCAAATGCGATGTATTCTAACATAGGTAAATAATTTATCAAATCAATTCAAGCCAATAAATCTAACCTATTCGAATCTATGCTGAATTTGAGTAACAATTTTTTTCTATTAGGAAGAACATAAGTTTTGGTACACTCAACGGAAGGTGGAAGGAAGTGGTTACAACAGATAAATGCAATTTTAAATGAAATTACCCGCAATATCTTTGGACGATTTCTGCTTGCGCTACCAAAGAGCTTGAACTTGCCAATCGCCTTCTTACTCTCGGAAGTCTATAAAAGAAAAAAAAAGACGAAGAAGAAAAATGAGAGAATTTTTGAAAATATAAAAAATAGGGGCTGGAGTGCTTTTAGAGAATCGCCTTTCATTGAACACGTAGCCCTTCATAACTTCCCGAATATAAAGTATTAGATTCTGACAAATTTTCTAAAGTTTTTTAGAGGAAGACGAAAAAAGTATAACAAACTTTTTTAGCGTCTTAACACTGGGTTGGGTTGGTCCATTAGGCTGAGCAAAATTTTTTAAAGCGTATTTTTTCCACTTTGATAGATTCATATGATGCTCAAAAAATCAAGCACTTTTCCAATATGCTTTAGGAAATTTGTATTGGCATATGAGGCAGATACAAGCAAAAATAGAAACGACTAAATCGTGTTTTTCAAATTTTATTCGCTAAATGCTGAAAGGCCCAGCAAACTTTTGGTTTTATTTTATGCTGTTTCACAACCTACTTTTATTTGACTGAGGGTAAGTCTTGATGATTTGACCATATTTCAGCGAATAGTTATAACTTGCGAGTTTCTTAGTGAACAATCTATAGATCGTTTTTCACCTCTAACATGCATAGTAGAATGTATGTGTCATAAGTTTCGAAAAAATACAACAATGCGGATTGAAACCTCTTTCAAACATTTTTAGAACGACTATCTTTTTGGTGAAGACTTATGGAGCAACCTGAGATATCTCAATGGTAGTTAGATGAAAACTGACCTTACCATTCCAGTTTTTTTCCTCAAATTGAGCTTCCGAAAGCGAAAAAATATCAGGGCTCAGTATTATTAACTCTGAAATCCAACACTTTCACTTCTAATTGGCATGATGTTTATAAGTTTCCTAATATAATCTGACACTCTATATCTTTTGCAGATAATTCAAGCCATCGTCAACGACAAGCTGCGAAGGTTGGTTTTGTTCGTAGAAATTGCTAAAAGAAAAGCTATAGACATTGCATAGTGGCAATAAAGTGCTTGCTAAGTGCCTTAAAATCGTATGTTGAGTTGCATCAGCTCCAGAAGAGCCAAAGTTAATTTTTAGCCACCGCGACCGATGTCTTACTATCCAGTAGAAGACAGTGACGATTCCGATAATCTACGAACGAAAAGAAAAGCGACATCTTTTTTAAACGTCCACAATAACTATGATCATCCAGGTTGGGGTATTTGAACTAAGATTTGCATTCCTTCAAGCCAAAATGTATGTAAACTTCAAAGAAAGCTGTCGTTTCTGCAGATGTAATTATTTTTTTGAAGTCAAAGATATTTCTTTCCTATGAATCATACCATTACAATGAGATTAAAAGTTTCTATTTAGAAAGCCTACTTCGAGTTGATCGCGAGACTCGACTCAGGCACGAAAAGGAAAGTCTTGAAGCGGAAATCGAGGAGTTAAAGGTGCACATTTTTTTGCGAATAAATGCATGCCTTGAATGAATTATTTTCAGATGCGAAATCAACGTCTTGTCGAGCAGCTTCGCGAGAAAAGCGTACAGTTTAGCAAATTACAGTTCCATACACAGAAACTGGATGAGCAGGTCTGATAATGCAGATTAAGTGATTGTGACTCTTTCAAAATCTGTTCCTCACTCACCTAATTTCCACCATTACAGATAGATGCTTTAAGCCAAAGATGCGCGATGAACGCTGCTCTGGACAAATTGACTCTGGACGAACGCCTTGTCAGAGGGCCTATGACTGCCCTAGAAAAGGTTGAATGTTAACAAAACAATTTTTGCAGAGACGTGCATCATAATATAATTTCAGATTGAACAACGTCTTCGAAAATTCCAGAGTCAAGTGCAAAGCATCAAGCTCGATGCTGCAAATATTCAGCAAAAGGTAGGAGATTTTGAACAACTATCCTATGACCACTTTGTGCTAATTACGAGAGTAAATAAAATTGGAAACGCATGAAAAGGAAGTGTAGACAATATCAGCAAAATTTTGCGATAGGAATTTCTAGGATTTTTTTCTTGGGTTCATATCTTTCTAATCACCTAAGAAGACCAAAGCTCATGCGCTTCTATTTGAAAAAGACGGAAAACACCAAGTTCTGGGATAGCATAAATTATCGGTAAGTGGAGAAAGGGGGAAGGGTGGGGAAAGGTGGATATAGCTTTTTGAATTAAGCTTCCTGTATCCATCTCTTCGTACTTAAGCGATAATGCGGTTCCTTTCTTTATCAGAAAAATAAATAAAGAAGGCAATGATTAACCAGTTACGGGAATACAATTAGAGAAAACCAAAAAATTAAGTCCATTTATCTCTTCAAGAATTTTATACTTTTGCCAGAGCACCTCACAGGGAGCAAGTAAATGAAATTTTCTCACTTCCAAAGTTTCACTTTCATGGAAGAAGGTTTCTAAGATATGATTTTTTTTTTCTACTTTCAGACATTGAATGGGTTGGCACAGGAACGAAGCGCTCATCAGGCATGCCTCGAACGTCTCGAAAATCTTCAACGAGAGAACTTTGCTCTAATGCAGAGTCGATATCTAGGTAACCGATTGTCCTTTGACTTATCACTGGTTACTCCGCTCCCCATGGCTAACCTAGATTCTTCCAGAATCCGGCTGTGATGATGCCGTTTGGCAACGAAAAATAGACGCATTGCCATTGTACGAAACATTGTACTCCTTCACACAGAATACTGTACGAAAATATTCCGATTTGAAATGGGCGCTAATAGATCGGGAGCGGGAAGCGATCCGCGCTGAGCTCGATCTAATAGCTGCTCAATCTTCATTACTTGTTACGCATGCTCAGGTAAGGTGGAACTCAAAAAAAAAAATGAAGAAAAAATTAGTCAAACATTTGGATTTCTTAGAACGAAAGGCTACGCATAAGGCTAGGAGAAACTCGTCCAAAGCGCCCTGCCTCATTCCATGGCGAAGATTTGACTAATAGAATGGTTTGTGAGAACTCTGAGTTCACTCAATCGGCCTCTAATACGTCATTTTTTCCTAGGCCAAGAGAGAAATGAACTTCTTCTTGCCCTTCAAACTTCAAGGTTCCCGAATAGAAAACTCCAGAAGAATCCTGACGAAGAAGACTGTTGACTGTGAAAAAGACCTTGAAAGCGAGTTCCTGACAATGTTTGCTAATGGAAGAAGTAAGTCAGGTTTGTTATGATTCTAATCAAGAAATTAGCCCAAGTAACCTAAGTGGATACTATTTACCGCCCTAAGCATGACCCGCTGTACGTAAACATTATCGTAAACAACTGGTTTATTTACAGATGCAACACATTCAAACGCTCAGGAAAAACCTTATGCCACTTCACGAATTGAACATATGATGAGAGAGATGTCCTTCAATAACAAGTCGAGAAAAATGCCGCCACCAGCGTATATTCGCGAAAAGCCGCGAAATTCTTCTAACAGACCCATGAGGTATGATGAGTCAAAAAAATAGCGAAATTTGTAAAAAAAAAATGTAACAAAATAAGAACTAAGCTACTGAATCCAGCCTGATCGAAGTTGAAGAACAACGTCGTCTCAAACGTTTTGAAGAAACAAGGAGAAGCATTAAGATTAGAAAACAACCCAGTGCGGAAAGCTATAGCAAGAGGTTGGCTCCAGATAACGACATTGTGATTTTTTGAATTTTTGGAATTTCTAAAATTCCTTTGTGTTTGTTTAGACCAATCGACACCGGACAATTTCCAACTTCTTCGCTTCAAGAACTACCTTTTCAAAGTCCCAACTCTACACCAGTAATGATACGAAAATTTGCGGAAAAACCACCGCAGCATAGAGGTATTTGAATTGAATTTGTACTCGAGAGCACCATCCAACTCAGCTGAACGAAGTGCATCTTTTGATATTTAAAAGTAACCGTGTACGGTAGTTGTACGGTAAGTCGTCTGGCCACAACAGAGACCTGTTCTGTTATCAAACGTGTTGTAATCAGCACACCGAGTAACCTTTCAAGTCCAGTAAGCGAATGCCTGAAAAGATCGGTGAGATTTGCAGGAATTGAGTAGTACCGTACACCTACTAATCCTCCGATATGGAATACTAAGCAATCATTAGAAATACGTTGTGTTAAAATATTTCTTACATTTGCTTACTTTTGTGTAACTCATCATAGCATTTAAATTTTTTAGACCTTTATTTTTTCAGCATATGACCAACTTCCGGACATGCAACGCGTTGATAGATTACGCAGACTTGAAAGAGGCTACAGTATGGATAATCACGATCGACCAACTTATGCGGAAGACGTGCGGAAGCAAAGTGACGAACGAAGGAAAGAAGACGTACGCGCATCTGTCGGAGATGCTGAAAGACGGACTTCGAAGATCCAACGATCCCAACCTGTTCATCTCACTCGAATCAGACCGCCATCGCAGTTGGCGCAAAGAAAAGTGGTGAGCACATTTCGAAAGCAAATGTCTTTTCAAAAAAAAGGTGTGAGAAATTCCAGAAGACCCTCGAATCTCCTCGAATGGAGTGTCGACCCCAGGAACGGCATCCTGTAATGGATATTTTGGACCCACCAAGACCTAATTGTAGCCCTCCGCCATGTCCTCCCACGAGTCGACTTCCTAAACCCGATAAAAAGTCTTGGCTCGATAAGATTCGAAACATGAAGAAGAGCTGATACCTACAGTTTCTACAAGTTTTGACTTTTATACTTTCATTAGCATGCTAGTATTTATTCAAGTCTAAATTATTTCTAGTTTTTAGTATGGTTCGTCTTTGTTATGGTACCTCCTCTCGAGATCTTGGATCTCTCCGATGAATCAAATTTATCTATTGACCAGAGGCTACTTTTCCAATATAATTGAAACTCGATTTATCTATATTTGTGCATAATAAATAAGAATCCTATTCCCATGGCATACTCATTTTCTACTTTAATAACATTACTGCACTCAAAACATCCATGAGGAACGCAGATATTCGAGTCACATCTAAAAACCCCATAGAAAGATCAGGTATTCGATTACAGGCAAAAACTCCAAATTATGTTTGACAGAATTATGGTAGAAATCCAACATTGATACCAATTTGCACTGGAAAAGTGTTAAGAACTCTTAATATCGATAACACTGTATATCTGGTTTAGTGGCTTTACGATTCTCCATCCCGATGCTCCAAAAAACTCTTTTCTTCCCTGACCAATGGGTACTAGAAGATATTGAAGATAAATGGAAGCAAAAAATACATAATGCTTGCCAGGCGAATTTGCTTGTTAAGCTTGTATTCTCGTCACACCAACTCAAAAATGTTTCGCAACTTTCGCTGCGATCCATCGCCGACGTGATTGCTATCTATTTTTCTTTCAAAATTTCTTGTTAGTAGCCTCGGCAATGCCGCTACGCAATGTCTACCGGTCTAGAATAACATGCACTCGTGGCTGAGTGGTCTAGTGGTATGATTCTCGCTTAGGGTGCGAGAGGTCCCGGGATCGATCCCCGGCTCAGCCCGAGTTTTGCATTTTCTCACACAAAGCAAATCCACACAATGTGACCACATTTGCACCCTTTTTGATATTTTGCTGTTTATATGGGCTGTGAAACGTACTTGACTACAGCATAATTAGGACGAGAATTTCATTCTTCTCATGTTTTCTTGTTATACAATCAGAAGAAATCGTCTTTAATCGAAATTTATGTAATATCCTCGCCTTTTCGGTGATATTTTTAGATGTTCAGTGCCCCCTCCACACATGTGCGAAAAAATTTATAGTGGAACAGATGCAGACACGGTGCAAAGTTCACCCAAATTTGCGGAGTGTTCTCTGGTCGCGGCCTTTTGCGCAGATGTTAGATCTCATCACTCAAGGTCTGTGCTCATCGGTCATGAATAGCGGACAAAAAGTGCTTACTACAGTGGAGCCCAAGACCTTTGTCTTACATATCCGGTATCACCAATAAATGTCCATAGTGTGCTGAAATGGATAACGAATAATGTCAAGGTTAACCATGCCGCACCAAGATTGTGAAGAACTCGTTTTAAAAACTTATAACATCTAAGTTTTGTAACTTATGCTAAAATTACAGTTTATCATAAGAGATAAAGCTATGTGAGCGTATAAGCATCCGATTAGCATGATCTTCAAGTTTAAGGAGCAGATCAAAAAATCATAAGTAAGAATAAAATTGAATTTTAGTTTTAGCACTTTGAGCGATTGCATCAATCCCAGAAGCGAGCTTTTCTTAATATTTGTATCGTTGCGATATAGTAGCGCTTTTGAAATCAAATTAAAGATTTAGATTTTTTGGTGCACTACCTATTCATCAAAGTGATTGCAATAAAACAATAGTTTCTTTATTATCAATCAATAATCCAAGATGTCCGACAAAAAGTTCGTTGAAGACAACAATGCCGAAGGACATGAGTATCAAAATCTATGCTGCAAATGCAACCTATTTTTCGATGAATAAATTCCTTAAATTTTCTTGAGTGTATTCTATAATCTTCAACGCTTCCGGATATTTTCTTCACATCGCACTAATGTGTCACTTTTCAGCAGAAGTTCAAATGACAAACGTTGACACCAAGTGCGAAACGAACTTGCGGAAGTAAGCAAATCTTTGCATTGTCAGTGTGCTATATCGTAAGTCAATCAGGGAAGTGTAAAGAATTGTAGGAAATTAGAGGCAAATTATTGGAACAAATATTTACAAATGGGAAAGATTAACCAACTACGTACTACCACTTAGGCCCATTTACCAGAATCAAGCATCTTTGGAACTGTTCACTGGTCTCTTTTTCAGCACTCCTATGGTTACTCTTAAAACATTTGCCAGAAATTTCTCTTTTATGATCAATGTTCAAGATATCTATCCCAGAATAAATATTATTCAGTCTGCAGCACTTTACTCGTGCTGATAGGCAATTTATTTTTTCTAGAAGTCACGCATTTGCATGCACTTTTATTTATTCCTTCGATTATCATTAGAAACTAGGAATTTTCGAAGATCATGCCATGGTCATGACCTGCTAGACTAGAGAAAGCGAAACTAGACTGCAGCTGTGAGTTAGCGGAGAGTTGGACTTTGCCCCCGGTCGGGGCGTGATACCGGGCCTTTGTTCGCTATAAAAGCGCTAACATTGCTGGACACGATAACAAACCTGCAGAAGTCCTTCTGTCACCGTAATCTGGCCACTTATGTTGACTCCTTGCTCATCTTTTATCTATGGTATTCAACTGTTATCTCAAGTATGGACTCCAAAAATATTTGTATACTGTTTGTTTGAGGCGGCTTATTACGATACTGTAGTAATTTTTTGAAGCAACTTTTCGAACCATAATAGTCTAAGCTATACAAAAAAAGCAGCCAAAAGTTCCTAGACTAGAAGGCAGGATAAAAATCGTATTTTCATGTAGTTCCAGAAAGTCTAATAACTGTCATTTGTTCACTCACACCAGTCTTGTGCAATGTTTATCAGCTGCACGGAAATGCACACTGTTTTCAAGCTTCTTGGAATTTTTTGCTGAAATTCTGATTACATTAGAAGTGCTGACATTTCCTACCGTAATCATACAGTATAACGATCATGCCATGAAGCTAATGGTGATTCTCCTCATGCTGTAGATCTTATTGCAAGATGAAGCCAATTCTGCAGAATCACACGAAGGTCTGGGAATACGCTGGAATGAGAAATTTACCAACGATCACATAGTTTATTTTTCTGACAAGGGAAGGGTACTTGGTCGGTTTCCATACAAAATGTCTACTATCTTATAGAGCATGGACTATGATTTCAAACTTGCTTTAGGTATCTGTAAAGCGCTTCTATGGGGGGAATTATGGAAATTTTTTATACAAAAAATTGAAAGCACCGCTACAATAATTTTTTAGGAATTTTAGTTCGGGAGGTCAAATGGGGCCAAGGCGTTTTATGCAATGAACCTTCAGTCTAATCTCATTTCAGTCATCACTCCTTTCAAGCGCCTAAAAATCCTCAGCATTTTTTTACCTTAGCCAAATTGAATTTTTATCTCAAAAATTTTCTAGAACTCCACTCCCAAAAGCGTCTTGCAGGTAAAGGAAGTAGTTTTGGAATCAGCGTTCCATGGCACACATCTCATATTGAAAAGTTACTTCGACCAAGTATCCTTTTCTTGTGAGAGTCCTCCTGAAAATGCTTGTCCCGATGCAGAATATCATTTTCTGGAAAAAGAAAACAAACGCACAGCCTTCGCTTACGCTTTTGGTTTATCCTGAAGAAAACCGTGTTTCTTTTTGCTCTCTCCTATTGGAAATCGGGGCGGTCAGTGGCGTGATCACGCCATACCACACCCGTCTCGTCCATGTGCTCGCGCGCACTCTAAGATTTGTCAACCACTCGCTTGTGAGCGGTTATTGTTCAAAATTTATTCTTCATTTAGAATTCTATCTAACTTGCTCGTTTTTGGAATTCTTTATCTTTGCGTAATATTTCGAAAAATTCGCTCCTATCCTTTCAAGCTCCTTTTTGAAACGTCTTAAAGTTTTTTGGACTAAAAACAATTTTCTACCTCAGTATTCTTTTCAGTTACTTACTACGCATTCAATCGCTACACCGAATCTTTATCTTTTTATTTGAACATATAAATAATCTATGTTTTCAAATTTTTCCATATCGCGTCAAAACTATTCAACACTGTCTACATACGCTCTACTATTTACTTTTCACCCAGGTAACAATGACGATTCCCAGTGGAACTAACAGCATGAAAAAACTGAAAGTGGATGAAGCTATAGCTGAGCAGTTTCTGGCAGCGGATTTAGACGAGGTGGCTAAACTTCAAGAGGAAGGCAAGAAAGTAGGATTTTTCTCAGGTTTTCGACTTGCTTAAAAATTCAGTGATTATTTCTTGATTCGGTTTCTCTTTACAGTACAACTACAAAACCGTTGTAGTCTACCGTAATGTGGCTCTTTTTGCTGCGCTACACATTGGAAGCTTGATCGGTCTCTATCAAGTTGTTTTCCAAGCAAAATGGCAAACTGTGGCATGGAGTGGGTTTATTACTTAATTACATAATATATAACGCTTGCTGCTTTCAAAGTTAAAATACTTTCTGGAGATATCCAATATGAGCATTCGCGCTAAAATTTTTTGCAGAATTTTTGCAAAATTTGTACGTGATCATAGATGCGCACCTGCTACGCTACATTCCTTATCAGAGAACGGAAGAAAACGCTATGAAAGACTAATCGGGTAAAGAACTGATAAGTTGCACGGCTTTTGTTGTTTGACGTCACATTCCTGGTGCGATCTTTGAGTTATCATTTGGGCAAAAAAGCAAATTCAAGCTGATAAGATGCAATAGCCCAGACGCAGAAAGACAAGATAGGTCATGCCTACTTTTTTACCAAAAGTAAATTTCAATTTGCCTTTTCCAAAACTTTTTCATTTTTAGGAAAGCCATTGACCAAACGTAGATTATCTTCGACGTGTTGGCACTTACTAGCAGCCATATGCCTTACAATTTATTTCGGAATCTAAGCCAATCGTAAAATTTCGTAAATTTTGAGTTAAAGTCTCTTCATGAACTCTTTCAAAAATTGCAACATTTAATTTATTTGATTTATATGCATCAATGTCACCGATAACACATACATATAAGGGCCAGTTTATATCTATTAGAACAAGTAGGCAGAGTACGAGCTCAAGCAAACAGGCCCTTCACTACTCATCAAAATTCCTAAATCTTGTTTCTACTACAATATTCTATCCCACTTGACGATTTTTCGCAAGCAGCTTTTCATCGAAATGAAATAACACTGGAACTATACAAAAAAATTCTTATTGTATATCAATGTCTGTTTTTAGTGGTGTTCTTGCACATCTTCGGTGGGCTTGGCATCACTGCCGGGGCACATCGTCTATGGTCTCACAGATCCTATAAAGCCAAACTGCCCGTCCGAATTCTGCTGATGATTATGAACTGTTCAGCTCTGCAGGTAAACTTTATAACCCTTTACAGTTTTTTCTGATTTATGAATGACAAAAATGTGTAATTTCTGGAAAACGTGATAGGATATCGTGAGAAGAATGTCATGAAATGAGATGTGTCAGACTTACAAATCAAAAGAAAATCGAATTTTAAAACTACAGTTCAACGCGTATTTTTCGGGCGCCTTAGCTTTGATTCCAAAGATTTGTTTTGCCTTGTATTACAACAGTTCCTGATATTCTAATATTGTGCTTTCTGCAAATACCTTATCGTACATGTTTTGGAAATTCGACCGATAGGAACACGCGGTAGCGTACGGTCATGGTGTGATCAGCGGTAAAGGTTCAGCGTGGACTTTCAAAGCTCACTGAACTGTGACAACAGTAGCAGTCTGTTGAATGATAGTTCATAATCAGGGTAGACATCAGGGGCTCACTAGGGGCCAAAAAACTTGGCATTAGCGCAATGTGAGTTAAAACTTCCCCCTTTCAGAACGACATTATCGAATGGGTTCGCGATCACCGTTGTCATCACAAATGGACTGATACTCATGCCGATCCGCATAACACCACACGTGGATTCTTTTTTGCCCATATGGGATGGCTTTTGGTCCGAAAACATCCACAGGTATGGCAAATCACGGCTGCAGATCACTGCAACTACCGTAACAGCCAATTGTAGATCAAAGAACAAGGAGCTAAACTCGATCTATCTGATCTGTTTGCTGATCCAGTGTGTACCTTCCAGAGAAAGTAAGTTTTTGGGACACGGTAGAAAATCTAACTATGGACGTGTTAAAATTCTAGGTACTACCTCCCACTTGTGCTCATCTTCTGTTTCCTGATCCCTACGGCAATTCCTGTAAAATACTGGGGAGAATCTGCATTTGTAGCATTTTATACGGCAGGACTTCTTCGCTACTGCCTTTTACTCCATGCTACTTGGCTCATCAATAGTGCAGCCCACTAGTAAGTTGAATATGCTGCCTTGGTTTCAAAAATCGCATCCTATATTTTAGTTTCGGATTCAAGCCGTACGATAAGCACATCTCACCGGTGGAATCAGTCTGGACTACGGTATCTGCCATTGGAGAGGGTGGTCACAATTTTCACCATACTTTCCCTCAGGTAGACTTACTCTCATGGATACCTATAATTATTGAGAGGAATGAAGGACATTTTTAGGACTATCGCACATCCGAGTATTCTCTGAAATTGAATTGGACTCGAATATTCATTGACACATGTGCGGCTCTTGGTCTTGTGTATGACCGCAAGTCCTTCTCCGAAGAAATCATACAGCGACAGTGTGAGAAGCATGGAAGCCCGGAGGACCGTGGAAAAGCCATCATGTGGTAGCGAACATATACATGAGAAAACTAGATTTTTATATCTACTCGGGTTGAGCTCTAATACTGTACATCATTTTGCTATAATCTCATCTGCCATGTCCTCATCATTCGGTCGTGCTGATAATAAATAGTGTTAATCGCAAAATCACATTAATCTGTTCATGAACGCTCCTGTGCGGATCTTTCCATAGGGGAACTGTTCTCGATTCCCTGCACGGAAACAATTAGTTAAATCACGACGTTAAAGCAGGAGAGAGAAATCGCTTGGGAGGTTAGGAGATTACACCTTAGAAGTAGTTCGTAAACATGTACATCACCGCAGAGCAAGGTCTTCAGAGACATAAAGAAAAAGTTGAAAATTGAGTTTTCGCCGGACACTTCTTCTAAGGCGAGGGAAGCTCTTACCCGAAACATTCATCGACGCTATTGCACATCAGTTAAATCAAAAATGAAAATCACGGATTTTGCTGCAACTCCATCTAGGGCGTTGATTTGCACGCTGATCACGAATATCACAGTTACTTCGGGTAGTATTGCCATCTGGTGAGTTACGAAAAACTACGGTAGGGGTCAAAATCGCGGATTTGTCCCAAACTTTGTCTAGGCGGGTTATTTATTTGGCAAGCTGAACATGTACATCATATTAGTTTTGCTATAGCACCATTTTTCCGGGTTACGGCTGGTCTGCGGTAGATGGCTAAGAATCCCGAATTTGCTCAGAACGCCTGAAGGGATTCTTAAGCATGCTGAATGCAAATGCTTGTTCGCCGCAAAGATTCCTTACTGTTAGAGTTACGATTATCTACGTTGCGTGAAAGAGCTTTTTTCGCTTTTCAACCAGATTCAAACCCCAGAAATTCACGGAAAGGCTTCATCGTGCACAACGAGTGCGATATACATGATCAGCACGTCAGATAACACCCCTGCACAAAGCGTGCAAATCTATCACTTTAGTACCCTACCGTACGCCTCTAGTAATTCCGCGAACAAGTTCTTGTACGCAAAAAAAGCATGATTTTCGTAATCATCTTGCTTAGTAACACTTGTGGGCAAGTTGTGAGCAGATTCGGGATTTTTAGGCATCTAATACCTACCGTAACTCCACCGAATAGCAGTACCGTGCGAAATAAATGTGTTATTCGTAACCAGCATGCAAAACAACCCCTCTAGACAAAGTTTCAGCAAAATTCGTGATTTTCACATTTTAGGTCACTAAGTGTGGAATAGTACCCATTCATCGTGCTTCCTTATGTGTCAGCGAAGCGCGGTTGTCATGACATTTTCTGGGATATGTCATGACATTTTCTGGGATATGACGACATAGAAGAACTCTCCTATTCCGGCTTATTCAAACAGCAAGAAAGATCATTCAATCCATGCAATGCTAAATTAGAGAAATCAAGGAATCTTTGAAGTTGAAATCTAGAAGTGATAGCGGCCCAATCAAAATCACGCAAGTCTTTGAACTAGAGCACCCTTATCCTGATACTCTTTCTTCTATACAAAAACTCCCTCATCTGCAGCAGTGGCTTCCAACTCTTGCGTGCGAAGACTTGCATACAAACTTATAAAATCAAAATTGTAGCCGTATCTGAGTGGAGTGAAAAAGTTCGTGGATTTCTCAAACCTCACACCAATATGCTCTTGTTGTGAACGTCAGCATATTGGTGTGTCCCTGTCTATAATCAGAATGTCAATATTAAGGGCGTAAGTGTGTTCCCTTACAAGTGATTTCTTCGCAGTTTCAAAGCATGGTATTATAGTAAGTTCTTTTAAGCTGAACAGTCAGAAACTCAGAGAATCTAACGTGGGTCTAACAGCCGTTATGTTAATAGGTTAGAAAATTTTACATAAGTATCGAGCACAGGGTGGAGGACATTGGGTCGCCGATAGGCTCCACCCTAGCGCGGACAGCCAGCATGATGCTGAAGGCGTGGTGGTGGTGGTGTTTGGTGCAAATGTCCGGGCGGAACCCTTTTTTCGGACTCGACGTATCCTTCCCTCTACAGTCTGCCCCAATCCCAACCAGGCCAAAAATGGCATGGCGGGAGTCCGCGTCGCGGGGGTATTGCGTCTCGTCTACGGCTACATAGTCTGCTCTCTCCTCAATCCCTTCGCTCTCTGCGACAGCGCGCGTATGCAGCGCAAACCTCTAGCGCTGCGAGCGCGCAGAATCAGCCGACGGTTTGGCCTGATCCCGATTGGGGCAGACTGTACCACACGAGGGTAGGAACGTTCAATCATGTTGGATGGGTCAGATTTGGGGTCTTCGCTGCGTACGTAGGCGTATACAGTATAAGCCCAGCATGCTGCCCAGCTTTCGCAAGCGCACTGATATGTCTACTGCGACTCTACTCCCTCTGAGGACCACGTGCAAACAGCACGTGCCACTGTGCCGCTGAAATCATGGGCCAGACTCGCAGTGGTGTACCTACTTATAGGCGGTGTCTGGGCTGATGTGGGAGCACCTCATTCTTGACAGATTATTGAAGCGGGCTCTTCATGCAAACCATAGCTCGGTTGCGGCATCAAAATATTGCTTCTAGAGCGAGAAAACAGCTTCGAAGTCCAGGCAGACACGCCCCTTGCTTGAGCCTCGTCCTTACCGAAAGAGGAAATCGTGGCGGGACACTTCGCTGCAGCTAATGGGGTGGGGGAACGAACGCCGCCAGTTTGAGCCGCTTGGGTAGGCGAACGAACTCCATCATTTTAGTGTTGTTCCCATTTTAGTGCGATTTTCCAAACTACACTACGCCCGCATATCATGTGACGGTTTTGAAAGTTGCGAAATAATTGCCATTTCTTGATTGACTGATTATTGCTGACTAGTGCTCTTTTCTTCGACGTTTTTGCTTTCGCTTCTTGTTTTACATTGTTTATAATCGCTTACTGACATCATTCAAGATTTTTATAGCGTATACTGGTATTATTTACAGACGACTCATCTTTCTCATAGATGATGTTCTTTGACTGGGCATGTCTATTCTTTCACTTTCACATCATTTTTAACGATATATAGCATATTTTCAGCCATCGGAAATTTGTTGTTTTAGAAGGTTTGCAAGAGTGCCCTATCGGTGCTTGGGGCGGACGGTGTCCACAGCAAAGCCTCGCGATGCGTCAAGAAGGGGTCGCAGCTCTATGTCATACACGGTGTCTGCGGCAATGGCTTTGACGTCCCCTTCTCTACGCCATCATGGAGAAGAAAGATAAACAGTCCTTCGAGGCAGTGCTTTCCGAACTAAAGAACTACCTGCTTAGATTCGGTGCTGAACTCGATGGACTGCAGATAATGGTGGACTACGAAAGAGCTGCTATCGTCGCCTTTCCGTCTTCGAAAGGAGTACATTCTAGGATTGTGCATTCCGTCTTGCGTTAGCGTGGAGCAGGCGACGAAATGCGTATGGAATCACTCGCTTCATATCTGGTAAAAACACCACAGCAGACGTCGCCGACTGCTGGCACACCATCATAGGCCTAGTATTTTTGCCGAGGCGTCTGCATGGTGTAATCCGCGCATTGAGGGAGTCGCCTGTTCCACGCAACCATCCACACTATGCGTGCTGTACTAATTATTTCAAAGTACCTAGGTAAATTATGGTATAGGGGAGCCCTGGCCAGCCCTTGGAATAAGTCCGGTGTGTACGATGTGAGGACCACGAACATAGCCGAAGCCTTCCATATTCCTTTTAAGACGGCTAATTGTACTGCTGTGTTACTTCGCAGTGCTGTCGGATGTCATCGGCATGTTACACACGTTGGAAGCGGAGTGTAAAGCGAGGCTGAACTTCCTAGAGATGGTAAACATGATATTAACAGGTGATAGCAAACATTCCACTCATCAGCTTCATCTTTTTAGCATCCGAACCAGCAAAAGGTCAGCCGTGAAGCCCTACAGCGACGAGGCGAGATAGCCGCAGTGATGAGAACGTATGCGTCGTACACGACAATCAAATTAAATAATTAACGATCTTTTTTGAAGGTTTGAAGAACAGTACAGGGCCCACGGTGTAACTAGGGTAGATGCAGAAGCATATTGTAGAAATATGGCGAACTACGTCACGGATAAAGCATTTTGAAATAGTTTGTCATTACGTCGCAGTAAAGTTCACATATAAAGTCGAGAAAGTTAAGAAAAGTGATAGTGGTGAGACAATCAAAAACTCCAATGGACGAAAACACAACCTGGATGACGTATTGATCTCTTGATCCTTTGAACGAGTAAGAGATGCGCTTCAGTAATGAACACCCATCATTTCAATAATATTGAGTCGTTAACAACGACCAAATGAAAGGTTTTGGTAATATATCGGAAAAGGTGAACCCTTTGGAAGAAAGGGACCACCCGTACTTCACATATCCGGTAAAGAGACCAAGAACGAAAGAAAAGAAAAGAAGATCAAGAAGGCAAAGAACTTTTCCCAACAGAATGGACTACTTGGTAAATGAAATAAACATTAGGCAGGGGAACGAGCTTTATAAATTTTTCAGAACACTGAATAAATATGATATGAATAGGCTTATAGAACATGCTTTCAATGAATCATTCCAACGTCACACTTTTGAACTGAAATATAAAATATATGGACCGTTAGCATCTCCCTTTTGGAATAAAAGACTCAAAAGCATTGAACAAAACAGTGGATCTCATATTAAGCACTAAATATTAGGTTGGCTCATAATTAATGCACGTTTTCTCAACTTCCACTTCTAATAAAGATAATTCTTTTCCAAAACAATCTTTCGGAGCGCAATAAAAACTATTAGGTTGTCCCAAAAGTAAACTCCATTTCTAGATAACTTGAACGGTTTTTGTTTTTTTGACAGATTTAGGGTACCATTCGGTAGACAGCAAACTCTACAAAAAGACTACCAAAGTTCTACCTAGTTCGTAACCTAGGTAAATTTTGGAGCCAAAAATCAAAATTTTTCAGCTACCCTAATAATCGGATCTTCTTCCAGAAAATTCCTACGGACTTCCAACTTGGTCTTCATATAGTAAACACATACAATACCGCTCACATTTTTTGAAAAAAAGACGCGAATGTATGGACATGTATGGACATGTCCATACATCAACGTCGCGTGGCCATATCTCGCTTCAGAGTGGACGAATTCTGAATCCAAGGCCACCGTTCGATTCAGCTCGGCGCGGAGAATCTTCTGATATATTGGAAGTGGGGGTACGATGTTTTCGATATTCCGTTTCCAGTTTTTTCAATTTGTTCTGCGGAGGTCCTTTCGCGAATATGTGAAGCAACGCCTACCCAATATAGAAGACTTTACTAAGTACTATTCGATAATACTGTTCTTGTAAATTATTGTGCGCTAAAAAATAGGCTCAGACTTCTTTCCAAAGGAGGTGAAAGCGTTAGTGAATTTTGGAAAAATCACGCGTTTCTAAATTCTACTCGCCATAACTTCTTTCGGAATAAGTATAATTTGAATCCGAAAACTGCGCCTTGCTCAGCTCATCAAGTCGAATCTTGCTATGTACAGCATGTCCTTGGTATTTCGATTTCAGTATTCTTGAATCTTTCTGAGGACGTCTTTTCGCGAAGGTGTAATGCAGCGAACATTGTCCCGAGTACATTTCAGCAAGGATCTTTCGATAGCACTTTTTCTGTAGATTATGATATGCTAAATAGTAGTCGCAGGTTTCTTTTCAAAGGAAATAGAAGGGCTGGTGAATAGTGGAAAAATCTTGTCGTCCCAAATTCTACTCGCCATATCAGCAGGATACGAAGCTATCTTGCTAAGCAGATGTGAGTTTCGAAATCAGCAGGTCGCATAACCTCTACGAGCAAGTTTTCCGATATGTTCGGGTCATTTCATTTTTTCTCGCTTTACGCTCCGGAAGCGCGCCGATGAATTTTGGTCAAAATGTTGATGCTCTTGAATTGTAAGGAAACTTCGCTTATAGAGGTTTTCGAACACGCTCTTTACGAGAATCGTGGTCTTTGAGGATTACAGGGTCTTTTTGGAGAGATACGGTGAGGTGACCGTAACTTTATCACGAAAGTACGTAACTTTGGCCGCACTTCTCGCGTACCTGTCAGAAACCTTGCCTGCTTGCTTTTCTCATTCAAAGTTACTAGGAACTGTGCTATCGAATGGTGTATTACTCAGGCTCCAGTCTGTGAAATTCGCCGAGTTACGAGCCTACAAATACACGTCCTCATGAATTTTGCCCAAAATGTAAAGATCGCATGTTTCGTCGAAATTCCTCCGCGAGCGCTTGTATGACGCTCGTTGCAGATATTATGTTCGCTTCGTTGAACGTCTCCCACTGCACTGAATATGGTGCTTGCGTCTGCTTCAGCTGCTCAACTGAATATCAAAGCTATTTCGTGGCTAGAGCTCAAAGCACCAAATCTAACACAATAAGATCTATCAAAAATATGGAAGGATTTGATCAGCGCATTGTATTAGGTCATTCGGATAGTTTTTTCCTTTTTGCGCCTTTGATGTTGATACCATATTTTAAGAGGGTGTCAGGGGGCTGTTAAGGGTTGCCATATATGGATTTGTAGAGGAAGTCTTCTAGCTTCTGGGATCCCATCGAAATTGACGCTTTGTAGGGAAGTTTACGCGGCTCTAAATTCGACATACGAAAACGCGACTATCGAATAATTGTATTCTCTAAGCTTAAATTTGAGCGTAAGACCGTTGAGGAAACCATCATTGTGCGCAATGCATTTGCCAATACCACGTCTTTTTTGAGGTAGGTTCAAGTTTACTTCAGAAAGTTCAGATCTAGAGAAGTGAAAGCTAATATTTTGCAGTGTCCTGGAAGGTGTTTCTGCCATATAAACGAGCATCTCAGAGGGTCCTTTAAATCGCAATTATAGCTGCGTAAAATCATCAGCAGGCTCTGAAGTGTCATATAACCTTATTAGGAGCCACCTTCGCTAAAGCTGCAATATCGAAAAATTTCAGCGACATGTACCCACAAATTGTCGCAATCGCAGTTTGAGGGCGCGCTGACTCTGCTTTCGTCGCTCATAATTTTATGTAGCAATCCTTTTCCAGCCTGAGTTATTAATTACAGCAAAAAATTGACCAAGTGCGGCAATGAGAAGCGACCATGTGGTAGATCATTTGGAATAAGCATTGAAAGCACGACCAGAACAATCTGTCATTCCAAAAGGTTAATGCACTCAAATTAATGTAATCCTGCTGGTCTTATACGCTATAAACTTGCTAAAATGCTATTGTACTGTAAGAGCAGAGTAGTGTGATGTCGCTCTGAAGACTGTTTTTCAAAATTTCAAAACTGAGCAGACTTGCACGTATAAGCTATGAGAGATGCCATCCACGCTCATGACTCCGCCAAACCACATGTAAGAAAAGTGGCTCTCATAAAAGGGGTTGACTGCGCACCGAGGTTCCTGTTTATTTTTCAAACTCTTTAGACCTTCCTTTACCAGTCACCGAATTTTCCAATTCCTCGGTGCCTATTAAAAAATAATAGGACCTAATAGAGATTGACTAATCAAAAACGCCTTTTCAGGCTTTAGTGATTCCTTTGTGATCATTCCGCAAGAGAAAAGCACAAGAGCACTATAAGAGTGTAACCAGAAATTTGCTGAACACAATGCAGTTTATTTGATGGAAAAAGGCTGAAAAATTGGGAAAAATTGTGCTCGTTTGAATTTGGAGGTGCAAAAACGAAAAAACTTTCCGAATGACCTAACACAAGCGCTCGCGGAGGAATTTCGACGAGATATGCGATCTTTACAATTTGGGCAAAATTCATGAGGACGTATATTTGTAGGCTCGTAACTCGGCAAATTTCACAGACTGGAGCCTGAGTAATACACCATTCGATAGCACAGTTCCTAGTAACCATACCTTCGATAGTCAAGAGACAGAGCCTAGAAAGTGATAGTTGTTTGAGTTCTTGCCCCCTATAAAAAGTGAAGGTTGTTTTAGAAAAAACTGATGGAAATTTAGAGATCTGAATTGAACCAGGAAACTTGAAAAATTCATTTAAAACAGAGGCTAACACATCACCTAATTTAAAACCTTATCTTGGTGGTTTCCTACGCACATTTTGTCTTCAGAATTGCCGGTTAAATTGGGTGGCAACAGGAACAAAGTTCTTTTCTAGTTGAAAAAAAAGCGTTAGCTGTGGCTGTAGTTGGGAGAACGAAAGAAGGCAAACTTGTCAACAACTAAACTGAACATGTTAAACATGTCTAAAAAGTTATGCTGCACATCGACGCCAATCTGATTTTTGACGCGTCCTTTGAATTTTCACCCCCGCATGGTCGTTTCGTATCCTGCGACGTTGTCTGGATTCTTCCGCTCATCATTCTGAGCATGTAACGTCCAAGCTAGAGAAAATTCGTTGCAAAAGCATTGAAAAAGAACATGGTAAAGAAAAACGCACTTTTTGGTAATTTTCACAAAAAAAACCGGCATAAGCAAAGAAGTAAGCTCGGCGACGTTGTCTACATTATAGACAGAAACAAGACCTATCGAATACACAAAAAAACCGAGTGAAAAGAGTTGAACTAAAGAAAAAACAAGAGGTTTTCGAAAACTCCGTTTTTCCTATATTTCTCGTTTAAACCATAAAAAGGAGTCTTGCGACGTTGTCAGTGTGAAAATAGAGATCAAGAGCTTTAATATGATATATAGATTGTCGAAATTGGGCTCCCAAGAACGAAGAAAAGGGTACCAGAGCCAAATGCCCCGCGCCCCGCTTTTGGGGTAGCGAGGTAGCGCGCAAGTCACGGAGACGCAGACGAGCAGCGGAGACAGACCAGAGCCGGCGGGGCATTTGGCTCTGGTCATTGATCTCCGCGGGATCATAACGAAACCCTGTAACATTATATATCGTTGTGATCCTCATGAGACGGCCAGGAGCACTGACAACGTCGCGGGTCTTGAAAATCGCTCCATAATGAGATAGACCAGCATTTATGTGGCGACTTTCTGCGCAAGATTTGAGTGCAGTTTTTTTTGTTTTTATTGAACTCCAGGCTTTCATGAACTTCCAACACTAATCGAAGTCTAGAGAAAGATTAATTGAGAAATTTTGCTCCAGTTCCTCATTGAATTTTTAAATAAA